ACTTCGTCAAGATACATAATTTGTCAATTCATAAAAAAAATCACTGGATAACTGTTCAAAAGACAGTTTAAACGTGTGAAATGCAGTGTCTCTTAAATTCTGTAAGTGTTGCTAAACGTTTGATATGTCTATGCATCGAATTGAAAACATTTATTCCTTTATAATATAATGAATTTTGTGAAGCACAAGTCAAGAAATGTGGTGTTCTTATTTCAACCGCGTTTCTAGTATTATATCTATGAAAGTCACTTCCTCTTTCAATTCGATCACACAAATATCGAGGCAGCAAACCGTTAACTACTTTAAAAATGAACACCATAGTCAAATATACAATTCTTTGCTTCACCGACAACCATTGTAAGGCGTCTAGCATCAAAGTTGAGGAAGTGAATCTATTACATCTCAAAATCAAACGCATTATTTTATTCTGCAAGCGCTGTAATCTCGATATTTGTGTTGCATTAGACAGAAATAAAATGTAAGTGCAAAAGTCCAGATGATGAGAGATGATTGATTTGTAAAGCTGTATTTTACTGGCAATAGTTAAATCGTTTTTCAGTCGACATAGAATTCCATACTTCTTGGCAATTTTCTTGATGACATTGTCAATGTGAGAGTTGAACTTAAGTGTGTCATCAATAATCACGCCAAGATATTTAATCTCCCGAACGCGATCAATAGTCTCATCATCAATTACAACAGAGACGTTCTCATTTACTCGATTCCGCGAAATTACCATAAATTTAGTTTTACTTGTATTCAATTTTAACTGCTTATACTTCAACCATCTACTTAGAGCTACTTAGAGAACGCAAATCTTCATTCAAGTGTAAAACGGCATCATCTAAATCCTTAGCTGCAATGAATAACACAGTATCATCTGCAAAAAGATTAATGTCGCAAAATCGTAAAACACGTCGCAAGTCATTAATATACATAATAAATAACAGGGGCCCTAATACACTTCCCTGGGGCACTCCAAGGTTATTCCCCACGGGACTGGAAACAGAATCATTAAAAACAGTCCGTTGAGTTCTGTCAGACAAATAGCTTTCAAACCATTTATATGCAGTACTCGTAATTCCAAAGCGCTTGATTGATCTTAACAATAAGGGCCTAGAAATTGTTTCAAAAGCGCGTTTAAGATCCAAAAAACAGCAACAATCGTATCTTTACACTCCACGTTATTTTTCCACTTCGCTAATACCAAATTCAACGCGGTTTATCAAGAATGACCTTCCCGATATCCCGATTGTTCTGGTATCAACAAACTATTACTATTTAAATACTAGAACAGCTGGCCTTTAACAACAAGTTCTAAAATTTTCTCTAATGTGTGCAACATGTTGATGGGACGAAACTCTTCGTCTTTAATCGTTCCAGCAACTTTTTGAATAGGGACCACTAAGGATTCCTTCCAAATTTGTGGCACATGTCCAGTTTGTAATGATTCATTAATAAGGTCCAGCAAGATGTGGGCAATGACATGAAAGCAATCTTGAATAACTCTAGCATTAAAATTATCTACTCCAGTCGATTTTCCTAATGAAAAACAAATAACTCTAAGTTCATCTAATGTAATTGGGTGAAAAACTTCAAATCTACAACTACTATTAACTGCTGTTTTATTTCGTCAGGTTCATCGACCAATTCAATGGATTGATTAATCAATGAAACACTTTCTACAAAATAATCATTAAACTTAGATGCAATACTTGTTCTGACTGTTCTAATGTGCCATTAAAAGTTATGGACCGCGGTTTGCAATTACAGGTTTTAATAAAGATTTCAAAATTTTCCATAACTCTTTGCTGTTGTTTTGATGCTGATCAATCTTCCTTTGAACATATTCACAACGAGTTTTCTTTATCGATTGTGAATACTTATTACGCGCGATTGTGTACCTAGTCCAATGATTGTCATTATTAGATCTACAAAACTTTTTGTACCATTAGTCCCTTTTCCGTTTAAGACGCAAAAGATCCAAATTGTACCAGCTGTTCGAGTTTTTCAAAGAAACAAACATTTGCTCAACTAGTTGATTGGTACACGTTTTCAAAGCATTATTAAGAACACCTGTAGATTCATCTAAGTTACCGGCCGCGAATGGAAAATCCAGGCTTCTCTCAACAAGATTCGAAACAGTTTGCTTCGAATATTTCCTCCAGCACCTCAATTTTACAAAATTATCGTTATTGTTAACATGGTCTAAGACATTAATCACTAAAGTCTCATGAGCGGTTATTTTCAAATCAGTATCCGTAACTGAACAAATGGAATCAAAATTGGAATAAACGTGGTCAATTAAAGTTCTACTGTGCCTGGAAATACGCGTATATTCATTTACCGTTTGCTTTAAATTAAAAAACTCAGCTAAACGCTTCAAATGATTCGAATTATGGTTATCACGCTAATTAATATTAAAATCACCAGCCAATATATTTAATTTACTAGAATCAAGGAATGTCTCAAGCCAGTTCTCTAAAACTTTAACAAAACGCTGGTCACTAGAACTGGGAGAATGATACAAAACACCATAATTACCCATCTTCATGCCACGTACAACTGTAATGCCCAAGAACCAGTTGCCATCAATAACTTCGTTGGTACGAAGGTTGAATTGAACTGATTCTTTGACATAAATAGCAACACCGCCAGTGTGTCTAGAATGTGATAAACAAGTAAAGCATTTGATGTTTTTCTGAAAGATTTTTTCCCCAGAACTTCTTTGAAATGAGGTCCTTAGAAATTATAATAAAATTCCACGAGCTTTTAAAACTGTGCATGGATTTTTACTCCAGATTCTTGAAAATCTTGAAGTATTATACACACTTCGAAAATCCTAATTTTACATGTGACGGAATCCATCTTTGATATAAAGGATGACACGTAAACAAATATGTCATGTAAAATTAAATGCTCCGAGACTGAAAAGTTTGTTACTCGACGAAACGTACGTTTGATTTAGCTGAATTTCGTGACTATCATGACTTAATTTTATGTCAAAATTGACGCTCGTATATGTCAGTCTCAGAGCACCTAAATTTACATGAATTTTTCTAAGTGTGTAGCTTTTATGTTCAGAACTAGTTCAACTTTAAAATTTCTAGTTAATATGCATGTTCAAAACAAAAAAAAAACATTTCAAGCCTCTCTTTTTTTAATTAATTTGTTACTGAATATTAGTCCACTGTGGATCTATAAAGTTCAAAGAGTGAATGAAAATAATGCTTGTATTTTAAAATTCATTATTTTCTTTAAAATATCGTTAGTAACAAAATTATTAAATTCTCCGAGTCTTCCAAGTATTTTAAGGAAAAATACAATTTCCTGAGGATTCCAGGTTCTCCAGGTTTTTGCAGTTAGTAGACACCCTGACTTGTACCGTGGGTTTGGCCATAAACTTTCTATTGAATCTTTCGTTGATATCGTACATAAGTGTTTATGAGATACTTGTTGAATAAGTCTAAATCTTCAAACATTTATTTTCTCTTAGGTCACTTTTAAGTCACTATTTTTACAACTATAAGTAACTATTTGGTCACTTATTTCTTCAACATGGTCACTAAAATCACTATTTTTGACAGCAGTTATCGCTACCAGCCCTGCGATGGAGATGTCGATTTGCCAGGGAGAGCCATGATTTCCGAGAAATCATCGAGAGAAGTTTTCCAGCTCTATCTACACACTTAGAAATTATCGCCGAATTCGGTAATTTTTACCGAAATCTGAACAGCTGAACTGTTCGGTAAAATTGATGCAATTCAATTACTTTTCAGTTACTTTGAAACTAAATCTCCACTAAAATGACAAGATTTGATCATTTAAATAAGGTTGAACATGTTTTAAAATTATTTTCAAATTCAATAGCCTTTAAAATGAAGGTCAAAGTTTTACCGAACATTCAGCTGTTCTGATTTCGGTAAAATTTACCGAACACGGAACCAAAATCTTAGTGTGTAGATTTCTTAAGCTCAACGAAAAAAGGTACAGGGGGAGGGGAAGGGTATTGTGCGGGACTATTTATCGAAAAAAATAATATTTCTATCAAACAGGATTTCTATGTTTAATTATCTTTCCATACATGTTGAGATATATATTCCTAAAAATCGAACACTGCTTCTTGACTCCAATTCTGTCATGCGAACTTCAATTCCTTCCAAGCGCATTGAAACGTCATTGGATTCACTTCGGCATATGGATGAAGGCAAACAAAAAAGATTCGCTAGGAGCGAAATTAATGGATGTTAATTCTCATATTTCTAGCGTTCTTATATACTTTGCATTGTAGCTTTTGAGCTAAACTATCATACCAAATGTTCACATCGAAAACATTAATATTTTTAATGCGCTAATGACGAATTACTGCTCTACCCTAACATCTTCCTGAGTGTTTTTATCTTCCCTAGCGATATGTCCCAGCTCCCCCGAAAATCCTTTGAAAAATTTGCTCTGATTCCGGAATGCATCAAATTTCTCACATGTTTCATATTATTTACCTATACCATGACGATCAAAGAAGGATCGAATACCGCTCTTAATAGGATCAAATTACCTACATTCACTCACGCTCGCCTAGCACAAGAAAGAAAAAAGGAAAACACCGAAACCATATCATGAAAACAATACCACCTTCCCCACCATCCAGCCAGCCAGCGTCTGACGATCATCCACCTCAATCCACAACAGCGATCATTTCGCCCCGGACGATTCATTCAACTCACGTGGTGCGCATGTTATGAATGAATCCACCCCATCCAGCATAAGCATGAACCAAAACAAAACCCACTACCGCGAACCAACACATGCACAGGTACACTGAGCAACCCACCCCAAATGAACACCCCGACCCCGATCGAGCAGAGCATCGCTCCATTCAATGTCAGCGTGTGAGTGAGTGGACTCGCGAACGAGAGAGAGAGAGAGAGAGCCACCCGCCCAACATAATAATAATGCCCGCACCGCAGCAGTTCACTCGGACGATTGGTTTGTATTAGACGTCGGTCGTCGTCGTCGTCGTTGTCTAGCTGCTCGCGTGATAGATTGGCGTTTTCTTGTTTGTTCAATCTCGTGCTGCTGTAAATGGATATCCTCTTATCGCTTCGCGATCCTTGTAATTGGCGATGAATGTCCGCGCCGCCCCCAGACACTTGAGATTACCGACGACGGACGGTCGAAGAACTTGTGCAGTGAAGTGATAGATAGTGATGTGCGTGCGACCCACACGGTACACGGTGGTTGGTGGAGAAAGTGAAGATTCTGTTTGCTGTAGTGGTGATGAGAAGAGGAGTGCATCTTCCTGTCAGAATTTTTCATTCTCAAGCGTTCACTCTTCAGTCGTCTGGTTCGAAAATATGAATGTAAAAACATCAGGAAAAGAGTGTCGCTCATCGCTGCTGCGAGGAATGTGATGATTTTGATTTGCCCCTGTGTGTATGCATCCGATGCCCGTAGACGGTACAACACACATACAGTGATGAAGAGCGCCGCGCGCGCGTGTGTGATGTGAAGATCCTTGATGTTCTGTGAGAAGAACACCGACCGAGCAAAGGCAGCAATGTTTACAGATGTTCTACCGTAGAGAGGAGTGCGCTAATGTTTTTGGTAGTGGTGAGATTGTGTGCTGATGGTCCTGTTTTGTGTTGATAGTGGGTGCAATAGCCAACGTTATAGTGGGATGATGCATGACAACCACTTTTAGGTGCTTCAATTTTTTTTTTAATCAGTTTGTGGGCAGTCAGAAGAGCAGAAGCGGCCATCCGTTGCATGCAGTAATCAAATGGGAAAAAAAGAGTCATTATTAAACATGTCATGGAGGATGCTGCTGGAACGGTCCATGATCTCTGTCGTCAGTGAGCAGTGAAACGCGGAGGAAAACGAAAATCAAGTGATAAGAAAAGGTAGACCAAGAAGAACACCGATAGGCAAGTGTGTGAGACGACAGCCTGCTTTCTCGCAAATAGCAGCAGCCAGCAAGCAGCGAGTTACGAAAGTGTGGTGATCAATCAACAAAATATTGTGGCCGGTGGTCGGTAATTAAAAACAAAAAAAGCGAAAGAAAAATATCATCGACAAGCTATAATAGCTGACGAAGGCGAGAGGAGAACCCCCGAACCAATATAACATAATGACAGAAAGAAAGTTTACCCGCGGGCTCAACAAGCCCGGAATGGCAGCTCAGCTGAGGGAGAACATCTCGCAGGTTGTACGTGAATCTGCTTCACTTGTATGTATTATGTTTTATTTCATTTGTTTGCGAACGTATACTTCTGGGTTTTGCGATTTCTGGTTTATGTTTGGCTGTTGTTCACATTTCACTATCAGATTGAGTGTCAGTATTATGATGCGCCAGATGCAGGCTGTGTAAGTGGGGCCTTGGTGGGTTGGGCTCAACTATTCGATTGATTAAAATGTAGTAAAATAAGTTTTGCTCCCTGGATGTGCAAATGTGCAATAAATTCCCTTTATTTGTGTACACATTATCAGCATCGGAATAAACAGCACAACGCAAGCCCACGAGGGTGCTGTAGAAAACGGTTGTGTAGTTTGTATCGATGAGCTTCCTGTTGTTGGTTCGCGATAGAGCACTCTTCAATCGAGCGTTCGCTCATTTGCCTGTTATTCGTGTTATTACGTTCGTTCTTTTCGCCAGCTGGCGTCGGATGGTTTCATTCTTTGTTTACACAAGGAAGCGACAGTGCTGCCGGTTTTGGTTTTGCATTAGCTTTGCTCAAACTTTCGTTGCTTGCGACTAAATTACAGAAATTCCATAATTTCGCTATCCACTCTGTAATCACATCATCAATATTATTGTCAATAATTCTCCGACCTTTTTGACCTGGAAAATCAGGGATTGTCAGGGAATTTCATTCAAAGTCAGGGAAATATTTCTTTATAACAGAAACATGTTAATAAGTATGGCTGACTTCGCTAGTTTCAACTTAATTACTCGCTGTAGTTTGAGGATGATTTTCAATTTCAAATTTTAAATAGTTTGATAGAGTTGCAAAGTTGTGGTTGTTCAATGCTTGATGTTGCATTTTTGCAAGTGGAGCAAAATTTACTGAATTAAAAGGGTATTTCGATGATTTTGAGCCTATTATAAATTCAGCTCCCACTGGGTGTTGTCACATTCATGAGTTGAACCGAGATAAAAAAAATCAAGTTCCGTAGAGACGCTAGACGTTGTTAGTTTGCTGCAAAATTAAGCTGCTTATGGGAATGTGCGTCTCTTAAAAGATGTTATACCTGATTGCGCCTGACAAAATTTAACTTTCAAGTAGATTCTGCGTCTGCTCGATCCAGAATCAATCCCTTGAGAGCACACGCTATGTCTGCAGGCACTTTTTTTTTGCAATTTTCATGTACCTCAGTTTTTTCTTCACAAGAAGTTAGTATTGATTCTAACAATCAAATCTGTGAAGGTTTAAAAATATTTCATCTTGGGATGTTTGAGAAAAAGTGTTTTGAAGTTTACTTAGCTGTTTTCAAAGGCGTATACGGACTATTGATGATACAAAACTGTTAAGGATCGAAACAAATTCTGCTGAATATGATTCAAAATGGGATTAAAGTTGTCAAAATACTAAGTTTTAATGGTATAAAGGGTGATACGGTCAAAATTTGGTCAATATCAACTTGACGTATTTCTTTCAATTTTGCATTTAAAAAACCTGAACACCCCTCATTTTGAAGGTGTGTGTGTGTAGAATTCACTCTTCAGTTGTCAAAATGCCGTCCAAGCAAGAAGAGCAGCGTATCAAAATTTTGCTCGCGCATCGCGAAAATCCGAGCTACTCGCACGCAAAGTTGGCAAAATCGCTAAAAGTTGCCAAATCAACCGTTACAAATGTAATTAAAGTGTTTGGGGAACGTTTGTCGACAGCCAGGAAGTCTGGATCGGGGGGAAATCAAAAACCGGAAGCCGCTGAGACGACAAAGAGAGTTGCCGGTAGTTTCAAGCGAAACCCTAACCTCTCTCTCCGAGATGCCGCAAATAAGCTGGGTGTATCGTCTACAACCGTGCATCGAGCCAAAAAACGAGCCGGACTATCGACTTACAAGAAGGTAGTGACTCCAAATCGCGATGATAAACAAAATACGACGGCCAAAGCGCGATCCCGGAGGCTGTACACGACGATGCTGACGAAGTTTGACTGCGTGGTAATGGACGACGAAACCTACGTCAAAGCCGACTACAAGCAGCTTCCGGGACAGGAGTTTTATACGGAAAAAGGAAGGGGAAAGGTAGCAGATGTTTTCAAGCACATGAAACTGTCAAAGTTCGCAAAGAAATATCTGGTTTGGCAAGCCATCTGTACCTGTGGCTTGAAAAGCAGCATTTTCATAGCTTCCGGGACTGTCAACCAAGAAATTTACGTGAAAGAGTGTTTGAATAAACGTCTGCTGCCTTTCCTGAAGAAACACGGTTGTTCCGTACTGTTTTGGCCGGATTTGGCATCTTGCCATTACGGTAAAAAGGCCATGGAGTGGTACGCCGCCAACAACGTGCAGGTGGTTCCCAAGGACAAGAACCCTCCCAACACGCCAGAGCTCCGCCCAATTGAGAAATACTGGGCTATTGTCAAGCGGAACCTAAATAAGACCAAAAAACTGCTAAGGGCGAGCAGCAGTTCAAGGCAAACTGGCTTTCTGCGGCGAAGAAGGTGGACAAGGTGGCTGTACAAAATCTGATGGCAGGGGTCAAGCGTAAGGCCCGGCAATTCGGATTTGGAAAAGCGGAAGCCTAACTGAATATTTTTCCTGAATTTAATACTAATTGAACTTGAAAAAGAAATTTAATTTGATTTTTTAAATAAACGATTTCACCGATTTACACGCGTTTTCCCTTGACCAAATTTTGACCGTATCACCCTTTAGTAAGATTCCCTCTTCGGTACCGTCAGATATCGTAACTATGTCATGATCTCAGAATGTTTAAATTAATAAAAAAAAATTGAACAATGGTTTAGTCTCTAAATTTACTATTATTGAGCTATTCCATTGCAAAACGATATATTGGTTCTCAAAATTTGGTAAAAAATTGTAGTTTTGTCCCTTATCGCAAAATATTTTCTTTATTTTTTCGTTAGGCTGACCATTTCAACGTTATGGTAGTCCAAAAACTAGGTTTTTTTTAAATTTTTTTCAAAACGACTTTTTTCTAAAATTTGTAACTTTTGAACCAGTGAGCCGAGTTCAAAGACCAAAATATCTACTGTAAGGTAATTAAAAATACTTGTAATGATATAATAGGGTAGAGAACTACTTCGGCCTAATCACCCATTTTGGGCCTATCGAGCAGAAAACATCAAATAAATCCATGATTTCAGAGTTAACAAGTCAATTATGCGTTTGGTACTATACTTTAGTTAATAAGCTACCGAACGAAGTAAATGAGAACGCGTGATATGAAGGTTTGCACCCATAATTCACAAAAACAAAAGAAGCGCTCCGACCGAATCATGTTTTACCTTCATCCGATAGGCCGAAGTGAATTCATTGGCGTTTCAATGGCGTTTCAATGCGTTAGGCTGAGTTTAGAATCCGTAGGCCGAGTTTGGCGTCAAGAAGCAGTGTTAGACTTTTGACACTATCTCAACGATTGGTTTGTCTTTATCAAATCTTAAGGTACATACGGAAAGGTAAATAAATTTGGAAGCCATCAGTAATAATAACACTCCGTTTGGTGCTAAACTGAGCCAGATTTAGAAAGACTAAGTTCGGGCCGTGCTTAATAGGCCGGAAATGGGGTAGTTAACCCTACAATGAAACTAAAAAATTGGGATTTTGTATTGAAAAACATTTATTGTATTCATTTATTATGGTTTTCATGGTTTGTTGATAGAGGGCGCAATGTGTTTTTAATAATTTTCCTTTTTTACACTGGCTTTTTTACACAAAAAATCTAAAAATCAGCGATGTGTTGTTTTTCATTAGCTGATGATCAAAATTTCATCCTTCAAAAACTGCACGTTTATCAGGCAGTGGCGTTTATCAAGCACATACACTGGAGTCGCTTTTTAAGCGGTTTTTTTTTACACGGTTTTTTTTACGCGGATTTCGGAATTTACGCGGTTTTTTTTACGCGGATTCCGGAATTTACGCGGTTTTTTTTACGCGGATTTTGGTTTTTTTTTACGCGGATTTCAGAATTTACGCGGTATATCGCTTTTTACGCGGTTTTTTCTTACACGGTCTTTTTTTACTCGGTTTTTTTTTACGCGGATTTCGGAATTTACGCGGTTTTTTTTACGCGGATTCCGGAATTTACGCGGTTTTTTTTACGCGGGACATATCACCCGCGTAAAAAGCGACTCCAGTGTACAATGGCGACCAGCAAATCCAAATTGCGTATGCTGAGTCGAATTTGCGGCAGCCATCATATTGCGTTATTGGGATCATTCTTGACCACGTTGTCGTTCCTATTAGCTAACGTTCCTCATAGACATAGACGTTTGAGCCGTACTTTATTTTTTGATGTTCATGTCTGTCCCATATTTAACGTCGGTCCCTATTCCGCAATCTAGTGCCAATCACCGACGGACATCGATTGCCATCCACTGACGGCAATCGAATGTGCAGGAAGGCAGCTTCCACACCTGCGTATGATATCGCACCCATTCAAACACACATGGGCCGGGACCAACGGCTTTACTTCCCTTCCGAAGGAAGACGTGACCAGAGATTTTTATGCCTCAGAAAAATCCCACCGACCTCGACTGGGATTGAACCTAGACCCATTGGGGTGTTAGAAAGCAGTCACGCTTACCACAACACCACCGGCGCCGGCTGTTGTTCATGTCTTAGATCAAATTTCATAAGGGAAGCGTAAAAGAGAAAGAGATATCGCAACAAATTCTCTCTATTATATTGCGCGTTTCACACCAAATTGGACTAATAAGCGCGTTTTCATTTATTAAAAGGTGTGATAAAACTGCAAGTTTACGTCTAATCGTCTTGGTGTCTTCTGTGCACTTATTCCTTATGATGCAAGCAATAAGTGCTCCGAAGACATCAAAACGATTTGACGGAAACGTGCACTTTTATCAAACTTTTTGCATTTTTGGGACAGTCCAGTTTCAGATGCAATCAGCAATACCTGTTTTCTTAGACATGGAGTGGGAGTTGTTCCACCAACGACCCGATGAGACAGCCAATATAAGCTACATTTAAAATCAAATCCCTGTTCATACGTTTTCCCATGATTTCGTTGTACTTCGATGA